TTATTATTTCTTAAACAAGAAGCAATGCAATTAGTCAAAATATGCGCCAAAACTATCGACACAGTTTTTTCATCTTAGCGGTAACTTGTTTATGCTGGTGGCCAAAAGGGACTGAAATTGCGAAAAGCGCTTTCCACAGCTTCTTCAGAATTAAATATTCTTCTTTGCAAGAAATGATTCAGTCCCTGAATGAAATGGTAATTAGCTAGTACAGGGCCTGTTGAATATGATGGTTAGCAGCGAGCTTCCAAGTTCAGCTTCTTCAGTTTGAGCAGCATTGTTTTACGACATGTGGTCGAGCGTTGTCAAGAGGATTGGTCTGCTTCTGTTGATTAATCTCGGCAGTTAATTCAAATTAATTTGTAACTAATTCATTCAGATACATGTTCATTAACTATTTGAACTAATTAATTTAATTAATTCGCAATTAATCAGTCTATTAATACGTCACACACAGAAAAATGCCGCGGCATGGGTAGTTGTACTTCTGGAATCAAAAATGTGTGGGTTTTTTCCTACTAATTCTTTTGATGAATTTTAGAATTTTTACAGCGCCTTGGACAATAATAACATTTCCATTTTTGTTCGCTGTGATGTTCGGTGATGCTGGTCATGGCCTGATCATGTTCCTCGCCGCACTTGCATTGATTCTTGTTGAGAACAGGATTAAACCAGATGACGAGGTCGCAATTGTCAAGTTGTGAAAAAAATTGCAATGCACAGCAGGAAAAAAGCGAATCGAAGCGCGACTAAGTAAAGTTTTACAAGCAGTGACAGTGTCGTGAACAGAGCCCCCTTGTCGAAAACTGCTGCGGAACAGGAAGGAATTGAAACATTTCCCTTCACTGTGGACGCGATGTGCTATTCACTGCACTTTGTGCTTCACGATGAGTCTGGCAGCATGTCTACTATGTATTCTAAGTTGAAAGGCAGAGCACATTTTTCTTTTCTTTTCTGCCTTCCATAGGCAGTTTTCATCTTTTCCTTTATGGCGGCTATTTCATGTTAGTGATGTTACTGTAAAGCTCTTACATGACAGGCGCGGTTTGCCAGACTGTTGATTTGTCTACTCAACATGATGTGAATCTGAAAGTCTAAGGAAATATCTAGGCTGATTCGGAAGACTGCTCAGAAGATTAGGAAAACTGCATGTTGTACACGATTTTTTTTCGTAGAGGAGTGAGATAATAAAATAATGCTATTACAAAAAAATTTTTGAAATTTCTGCGTTCTTGTTTTCGAGCTCAAAAATACAGACGAGTATTTCACAAATTAAATTTTGAAAACCAGCGTTCTATT